GTAAAAAATAATTGACGTGTCATTAAAAATCTGATATGGATGATGATGTGTCATTTTCATTGTGCGTTTGAAGTTCACGCAAAGTCAAAGGGGTTTAAAAGATTGTGTTTCAGTGAGTCTAAAAGTTCCGACAAAGTCGTGAATAGAAGGGTCCAAGCGACAATCCAAGTCAAATACAAGGGTCTCCTAGATCATTCCGCCTTTCATCAAATAACATGTTGGTACACAACTTGAACAGAGCATTGAACAATCTTAAAACCTTCAAAGTTGTCCGCAACTTTTGTTTTCTTTTTGGTAAGTGTCCTCGACATTCACTATAACTAGAACTTCCACCCTAACTATCTGATTTTAAGTTTTAAATTACTCCTCGTGGTCCATCTTTTCCCAATTCCTAAAACCACATCACCCTACTCATTTCACGATCCATTTTTCTCCATTCCAACTCACAAATTTCACAAAAACAAACACATGACCAATATACATTCTGTCACTACTCTCTCAATGCATCAACAAAGAAAGAGAAAATCCTCTCCTTTTTTCATTTCCAATTCACAAATCCTGAAACAAAAGAAACCCTAGAAGTCGAACACTACCCTTCGGACCCCTCAACAAAGAAGAAAGAAGGTACACTTCTTATAACCCATAAAGAACTCAAGAATAGAATCCCCATCTGTCTAAGCCTGGAAAGAAAATTTTACCAGTACCTACGCCGGTGGGAAGCAACGGATGCCTTTGGATTAATAAAGGGGGTCACAAATTGGGTAAAACACATCATTATATCTAAACAATTAAAAAAAACAGTCTTCAATCTTGAATGCATCAACATACATAATGAGAGAGGGAGTGAATAGATTAAAAAAAAGAAAACAACCTGCTGGCACCATTTGGAGAGGACATTGAGACGAAGCATACGCTGCTGAGTCTTAACTACATATTTAAGAATCCCAATTTTCTTCTCAGAATCAGATAAGTTAGACGACTTGCACTTCTCCACCAATTCCTTCAACGTAACATACGACTCCTCAGCTGCTCTGCTTACCAGTGCCGAGAAATCCACCGTCTGCTGCCCTAATTCCGCCATCTCCGCAAAGCCCTTCTCCGATGAAATTATTCCGACGATCCCGAATTCCTACTAATATAATGTCATTCAATGACAATTGACCGCCAATCAATCAATTACTATTAGGGTTTCTTAAAATTGTGGAATTTGAAACAAAGTATGAATCTCCGACCTGTAGGGTGAGTGAATAACGCGAGAGTTGTTCTATTTTTTTTTTCTTTTTGATAGATCGGATGTCTGAAGGGACGCGTAACGGCGGAAGGGAGAGGGTGTGCAAAATTTGGAATATGGTACTACTAGTCGGAGAGAAGTCAAAACTTATATAAAGGTCTATTTGACCAAGTTTATAAAAATTCATCCCCTTAAAATCCTTAATCATGTCGATTTAGAAAAAAAATATACTTAGTAATAGAAAGTTTCCATATGTAAATGTCTATTAAGTGTGTGAAAAATTATTTTTGTTGGGTTTCTTGATATACCTTCGAAGTTTGTGAAGTTTATACTTTATTTGTTAAACGGTGAAGATTTATCTGTTATTTTGTCTTTTTCTATGAAACGGTGTTTAACGATCATTCATTTATTATTCATCGTGTGGATTTCATCTATGACCTGAATTATCCTTCATGAAACTCAAATTTCTCCATTTACGCATGTAATGAATAATTTTGAATTTGCTTTTGATATACTTGTTAAAAAAAATTGTCGTGTAATATTGAAGTCCAATTAGTAAAGTCAGAGTATCAGCCTAATTGGTTGTCCAGGTCCCAGAGGGAAGGAATGTGACATTATGAACATGCCCTCGAAGTCCCTTCTTACTCCACCCCAATTTCACAATTCCTTTTCAAGCAATTACATTCATTTCTTAATTTACTTAAAGTGGTGTTGGCTTTGTCTCTTTGACAATTTTATAGACTGTTGTATTGTTTGTTCATCAAAAAGTTTTAACCATTGTTTTACTACAATTTTCAAATTTTAAACTTGTTGTGTTCGTAGTAATGAAGAAGACCAATAACTCTGATATCTGAATAGATGGAGTTTCGTTCTCATGTTTGGAGGTACACCTTGACCTCCAAAACTCCCACATGATTAAAACAGATAACGCGTTAATGAATGAAGGAGGGAGATTTTGTGAATCTCTTTTTTTTTTCTCCATAATATTATTTCATCAATCTCCTTATGATATATGTGGCACTTATGCAATCAAATGCTCCAGCATAAATTCAAAATAGTTTTCGATGATAGAAACACTATTCTTGTCATCATTTTTTCTCTCAATTTTTTATAGTGTGGGTTAATAGCTTGATGCCCCTATAATTATTACATTCTTAAATATCACATTTATTTTTATACAACTAGTTCATCGTAGTCCACATATATTATTCAGACATTTTCAATATCTTAAATTTAAGGTTGTGTATTGAATGGATCAGATGGATACTTATGCTTAATTGTTTAGCTTTTCGGATGTTGAATTTTAAATATACTAATCCACTAGCCAACTAATAAGCTATCAGTTGATTTAATGTCGGATTAGTAATTTACGGGTGGTGCATTGGCTCAATTGTTTCATGCTTTCCTTTTCACTTTCACTCACTAATATATCAATCTCCGATCAAACAAAATAATTTTTTAGCTCTACTTAAGCTAATAAATGATAATTTTGTAATTGTACATAATGAGAAATATCTGAAAAACTAAATTTTGAGGGTGCATGCACACAAGTATTTATTAACAACTATACTTACGGTAAAAATATAACTACAATAATTTTTAATGAGGTAACAATTTATCCAATAAGGAAAATTGAGTAATCCACCCAGTATCGATAAACTGTTAAAATTTTAATCTGTTCACCAACCATTAATCTGATAACCCAATACTAATTAGTCAATTTTGCGGTTGACTTATTAGTTATGATTCGATTTTGAACAACCCTACTAAATTTGATTTTTGAAAGAAACGATGGAGCTTAGATAAGCAAAGCGAGCCTAGAGTACTCGCTCTCGGTGACATTAGGCACTACCTTATTTGAGCTTGACATTAAATAACCAGATATAGTTATTCCACACATGTTATACATGTTTCTTTTAAAATTCTATCAAAATAGTTTGATTCCCTCATTTTCATTTTATGATAACCTCTTAAAACTTGATACTTTTATAATACCCACAATATCGACGATTTTTAAAATGCTCTAAATCACTTAGCACAATAGTCATCTCCTCCTATTTATTCAAGAGTTAATGCAATTATGTTTGTCATCTTCGTCTAATATGGGTCTCTTTCCATCAACATTTTACATTATTTATCTTCGATGTACTTCACTTGGTCCAAGTCGCGGACTCTTTACTCTCTTGCCATTGCAAACCTATACAACTTCTTATCTCAACCTTTGTCATAAAGTTCATCCTTTTAAGTGTTTGAGCGTTGTCGTTTTAACTGTTTTGTAATAGTTAATTTCACTTTCTTTTTCATTCCCCCATATCTCTCCATATTTGCCATTTTCCCTCTTCGTCTCTACTCTCCTACCACTCCATATAAGCTATCTTATTGGCTTCCGCCATTTTCTGGATCGCTTCACTCTACCACTTATCTTTTTGATGTCTATCAATATTACCATTCAAGATTTTCAAAACTTTTTTAGCTTGCAAAGAAAGACTTAACTTTTTGCTTCACATATTAGAAAACAATCTATACGCAATCACAAAAATAATTAATTTTACATCATTAACCATTCTGATCTTTAGAAAATTACCTCATATAAAATGTGTCTAATGTCTAAATCATGTGTCCTGTAACCATTTTGTACGAACCATAAAGTGTGTTTCATTTTGTTCCCTCAACTTGCCCAATCTTGTTTTTTCTTTCCTCAATAAATAATACTAATAATAATAAAATGGCTAGAACAAGACATAATTTTATGCCTTTATAAAGTGAATAAAAGCAATTGGTAAATAGGGGCCACGAAAACTATGTGGGCCATGAAAGACTATGTAGGCCCTATTTCATATTTATCCACAATTCACCAAATGGGCCACACCCTACACAAAAGGTTTATCCAATACGAAAATAATGCGACCATCGAAAATAAAAGTCGTATCTTCCTATCGGCCAGAAAAAAATTCATACAAGCTAAAGGTTAATTTCATTTTCAAAATAACATTAAGGATTTTATTTTATTTTATTTTTACTCAAAGCTTCAAGGTTATTTCATTGTTATTACTTGGATAATGGACCACTTATTTCAAGGTGATATATATATGATGTTGTGAAATTAATAGGTGATGTTTGAAAATTAATAGGTTCATTTTTCTACCTCCTAAATTCACCCTTATCATCGAAAAGAATATTATATATATAGTTACTAAATACATTGAATAATCAAATCAATGGTGAACTAAACTTTTTAAAATCAGATGCATTTGCATTAAAATTGTTGTTTTATCTTAGTTAATTAATGACAAATTGTTTGGTTTATATAACCATAAATCATTGATAATTCTTATATCATTGATGGATTAATTTAAATTTACTCAAGATAAACACATTAAAGAGTTCAATGCCTCTTAATAATTTTTTTTTCCTATTTAAGCCCGGTGATGAAAGGCAGAAGAATCCTAATCATCTCACTACATTAATTTATGATGGATATGATCAAATCAAATCATTTTTATCTATTAAATTAAATAACTTGCCTTATTCAAGATTATAGATTTCAATATTTAAGGAAATTTATATATATATATCATATTATTGACTTGAGTTTTGACAATATATTTTTTTACATAATAGTTTATAACTTAAACTCGAAGAAAAATAAATTTAGAAAAATATTTATCAAAAATGAAAAGACAAGGGTAAACAAGTAATCTCATAAGAATCTATAATTTCCACATGATACCAATTATATAAGAGTAATCAAAACTCAACCTTGTGTCTTCTTTCTTTTCTTCCCATTTATTGCTTAAAAAACTTAAAAAAGTCTTAGTTTTTTTTTTCTTTTTCCGGAGAGAAATATGGATAGAGTATTTTCAGTGGACGATGACATTGGCGACCATTTTTGGTCGACGCCGCCGACGGCGGAGTTGGGCGTTGATTCACCTACCTCTGCCGCCACCGCCGCCATCTCCTACTCGAAGATGATGAATCGCAGCTCTTCCGAATGGGCTTTCCAGCGTTTCCTACAAGAAGCCGCCGGTACGACCACTTCATCTCCTCCTCTGCCACCTACAATGGCGTCTTCGTCGTCATCTTCACACCAAAACGATGTTGTCGAGATCAAGGATGAGAATCTTTCTACTCCTAATCTCAATTCCAGTACGGCGTTGAATTCGAAGCCGGCAGCGACGTCGTTTGCCTCTGCACCTCCGCAGAATATTCCCGTTGATGCTGAAGAGTATCAAGCCTTCCTCAAAAATCGCCTCGATTTGGCTTGTGCTGCAGTCGCATTGACTCGGGTAAATTATTTATTTTAATTTATTTTTTCGAATTAGCTTTGAAAAGTTTCGCGCTCAAATAATTGTTACTGTCTTCAGCTAAATCGAGTAATTTATTCACTAATGAAATTATACATGGCAAAAATTCATAGGCGAAGAATCTAAAGCCTCAAGATTCAAGTTCTATTGCACCTGATAAAGGTCCAGAGACTGCTAGTGCATCACAATCAGTATCTCACATCTCCACTAAAGGTAAGCTGTGACCAATTTTGAGGTTCATTTCACCTTTTCTCTTGTGTTGTTGATGTATAATATGATGTGCATGCCATTGATTATGTATGATGTTTTTGATTTTGGTGTTATGATAGTCTGTGCTTTCTGTTGCTACAGAAACTTTACAAGATTTAGCTAAGAGGTTAGTGGTCTGACAGTAATTTGTGAAGATCTGTGCTTCCTGCTTTTTTTAATTGGTTTAGGATGCTGATGACTGATGTCAGTTGTATGGTTATGTGAAACATTTGAGTAAACGTGAGTGATTCTTGGATGAGGCAAATTTTGTCTGCATTACCATTGATTCCATGCCCGTGTCACTTCGCCATTAGTTTCTGGAAAGTTTACATTCTCTTACATAGAAAGATCAAACTTTAAAGGAATCTGATTTGAACCAAACAGGTGGATCCTTAGTCGCACTACGTTATGCTTTTTGAATAATTGTCATTTATATATACTTAAACAAATTCATAGAAGTTCCAACAAATAAGAAAAAACATTAGAAGTATTTTAATTTTTAAGCAAGTAAATTTGAACCTCCGCCTAATGCATGTTCTTTGAGATTTTATATAAATTCTACATCGTTTTTCCATCACTTATAACTTTCTATGATGAATAACACCTTCCAATCATCAATTAAGTGTTCTTTGATGATAATTCAAAACTTTGTACCCATAGTTGAAGCCTAGAAGGTAGAGCTGTCAAGTGCAAATAAATCGAGCCAACTTGAACATCTTGAGTTCAGTTAACAACCTCTATACCCAAGGGTATGGCCTAGTAATCAATGAAATATGTTGAGAACCATGAATTCTCAAGTTCAAATCCTAACAGAGACGAAAACACAGGTAATTTCTTCCCATATGTGGTATCCCCGGGAATTAGTTAAGGTGTGCGAAGTAGGTTTCGACACCACCACAACAATAACAACAACATACCCAATGTACTTCATCAAAAACAACATACCCAATGTCCTTCATCAAAAACAACATACCCAATGTACTCCCACGTCGTGAAATTTCATTTGAAGAAGAGACTATATAGTTCAATCAAGTCCTAACTAAAATTATTTTAAGACGAGGAGAAATCGTTTGGGCTTATTCTGCTGGCAGGAGCAAAAGGTCTCTTTAATGAAAAAAAGGTCACAGGCTTAATATATTGTCCCTCTGTACTTATCAAAAGGCATAAATATTCTTTCCTTACCAGAGTAGCATGAGAAAGTTTTCTAATTTCCAGTTTCCTTTTTATAACTTTACCCAAAAAAAGAGAAGAAATAGAATGAGGAGGTTTCTTCAATGTGATCCTAACGCAAAACTCCCACACACTTCCACAAGCAAGAAGCATTAGCACACTTCATAACAACATTATTGAAGCAGCTAATTGTTGTTTTCTTATCACACCAACCCCATTCATAATTAATCAATGAGTCCGCTTGTTGCGCTGGTTATTTAACTGACTATTTATCATAGAAAGGAGTCAATTTTATTTCTTATTAGTTCAACCTTTTAACTTTTCTTATTAATTAAGACACAAAAAGTAACTAAATGGGTCCACTCTTGCCTCAATTAGAGCCTAGTACACTGTACACTAACGATATTTGGTGGAGTAATTTGTTCTCCAAGCTCCAATCACGCTTCACATAGGATCCTCGTGAATAGGAATTAGTCTACCCGTGTCAATGACAGAAATTAACTGCAAATTGTTGGGCTCTGATTCTTCATCTGCAGTCATCATTCTAGTCATTTCCCTATCTCCTTGATGTAATGTTTCTCCATTTGCTTAATTACTGATGTAAATTTATGGGTCTGTACTTCTGTTCTTTACTTGACAATGCAACCATCTACATCAGCAAAGAAGCGTGTAATATGCAACTGAAGGATAAATGTATGTAGACATCCATTTAATGACAGGCAAAGACTTGGTGCAGGTTGCTGTACTATGCATTATGGAAATTAGTTTCTGCATTCAGTCTTTAGTTCGTTTTTCTCTGCAGGATCTGGTCAGGAAGTGAGAAAAGTTCAAGATAAGGATTCTGGTGGACCAGTTGGAATACCCTCTTTACCCTCAGTGCAGAAGAAACCTGTGGTGCAGGTGAAGTCAACAACTAGTGGTTCATCTAGAGAGCTATCCGATGATGATGAAGCTGAAGGAGAAGCAGAAACGACTCAAGGAACGGATCCAGCTGATACGAAACGCGTAAGGAGGTAATATGGTTTATAGTTTTTGTACAAGTAGTACTACTTAAATTGCTGTTAAATCTGAGAAAGAGAGAAGGATCAAAAGATCTATTAATATATTGAGGATAGACACATCATACTAGTTGATTCATGAGTTTCTGATGAATTAGATGCTTTTGATTTCATTTCTTACATCTGATATAAATAATTGTGGACAGCGGTTTGTCCGTTTGTGAAAAGTAAATGCCCTTGATTATACACACTCAATTTTGATTCACTTGATTGTACAACACTCAATTTTGATTCATGCATGTTGTTAGAGAACACTTGCATGACTATTGATGCTTTGTGAAGGTAAATTTTTTGTTTGAATGCTACTGAGGCATAGTTGTTTGTGACTACAGAGGTCCAATCAAATACTCTTCCCGCCAAAGTATACTTCTTCTTATATATGTTTAGTATATATTTTTCTTGAGCAGTTTATGTACGTATAAACACACACACACACACATTCACACTCACACTCACTCATACTCATACATGCACGATACGTCACCCACACTTTCATGTTTTGTAGAGACAAACTCGGCTAATTAAAAGAATCCCTATCTTTTTCATTCTTTCTCCTCTCTCTCACTCCCTCTTAAAGGCAACAGATATGACCAACACTTGGAATGAAACTAAAGCATATATTTTGCCCAACCGTTTAAAATATAATAAGCATGAGACCAAAATGACTTGTTTACAGGCCGTGTATGAACCAAATAGAGCAATTGGCAGAACTTTCTTTTTGTGTTTGCTATGGTCCCTTAATTGTTGGCTGCTGGAGAGTTTTGTCTTAGTCTTCGTCTGAATTCACTTGTGTGAAATTCTGGATCCACACCTGGTGTGGTATAAATTGTATCCTTCATTGTTGCATATGACATTCCTCCTCTCTGCAAAAGATTGCATGTACCCTCATGTAAGTATAGGTGTGGACCGTCATTTTCTGTCTCAGAGAAGGGAGTGTCATGCTACCAATTACCGTTGCCTCCATTGGACCAGATGTCTCTTTGCTTTGGAAGGAAAGAGATTACACTTCTTATATGGTCTTATGGAAGGCTTCATAATGTAAAGGCTGCTTGTCCATTACATGCAGAATATTCCTTCCTAAGAGAATAATATAGTTAGAGGTGCAATGATTCACTGGTATAAGGTGCTCCAACTTTTTCTGATTAGAAACTTTTTCCAACTTGAATCATGTCCCAGTGGTAATGTAATTGGTAGGCATCCAAAATGTAAAGCTAATTATTAATTTATTTAGTAGTGAAGTTTACCTGGGCTGGTCAAAGTCCTAACAATATCAACCCCTTTGTTTATCAGAATGCTTTCAAATAGAGAATCAGCCAGACGTTCAAGGAGAAGAAAGCAAGCCCATCTTACAGAACTTGAGACACAGGTATGTTTCTTAAGTCGTGTTTAAGTTAATGTCGGTGCAAGATTATTGTCTTATGAAACCTCATTTTTTGGTAGGTATCTCAACTGAGAGTAGAAAACTCCTCCCTACTGAAACGTCTGACTGACATAAGCCAGAAATACAATGAATCAGCTGTTGATAATCGTGTCTTAAAAGCAGATGTTGAGACATTGAGAGCGAAGGTAAGGCCCTTTAACTAGTTGTGGTTGAGGAAGTAGGTCCTGTAGTTTGTTTGGGAAAGTACAAGAAGAAACCTGCTTTGTGCATCAATTGTTTTTGTTTAGCCACAGTGATCATTTTTCCTGTAACCAAAAGGGAGAAAAGAAGAAAAAACAGAAGGGGTGGGGGTGGGGGTGGGGGGGATGTTTCCTAGGTAACGAGGTGGCAATTCCATGTTGCTTTTGCTATCTCTTTTTTGTTTTCATTCATGCTTCTAGTGCTTATCAGGTTCCGTCAACAAAGACATAATTTTTGGTTGGACTATAGCAGCATGGTTATGTTGTGCTTCTATCACCTACTGGAGGATACCTTTGCTGATTGAGGCATGTTTCAGATCCAAAGAATAGAATTGTCATGATGACAAAATTCTTTCATCCTCTTTTCCTTCTTAATTAAGGAGCATTATATAGTAGTAGAGATAGAACACACAACCTCAAGCAATTTTTGCAACCCCTTAACCACTACACTAAACCTTCAACTTGTGTTAAGAGGTGTCAACACTTGTAGATATATTTACTAAACCAAATTTTGACCTATATATACAATGTAATTTTCCGATGAAGGGGCGTCGCTTGACACTCCTTGCCCTAGGGTAGCTCCGTCCCTGGTTCGAAACACGTATTAAAAGTTCTTCCTTCCTTTGCTGTTTGTCGTGCAGGTGAAGATGGCAGAAGAAACAGTTAAAAGAGTTACTGGGTTAAATCCCTTATTCCAAGCTATGTCTGAGATGTCCTCAATGGCAATGCCATCCTTCTCTGGCAGTCCTTCAGACACATCAACAGACACTGCTCTGCCTGTGCAAGATGATCCTCAACATCATTACTACCAACAACCGCCAAATAATCATATGCCAACCCATGATCCTAGAATTCAAAATGGTATGGTTGATGTTCCTCCAATAGGAGGATCTGTACAGCAGAATCTTGCAGCTGCAGCAGTTGGGGGGAATAAGATGGGTAGAACAGCTTCAATGCAGCGGGTAGCCAGCTTGGAGCATCTGCAGAAGCGCATACGTGGAGAAGTGAGTTCCTGTGGAACCCAAGGTCGGGGAGAGCAATAAACACTGTTAAAGCCCCCAGCTGCACTGAATCAGATTTTGCACATGCATGTTGATAAAATTATACTGTTTTTAACCATTTGTGGCAGGAAAAATGCCCATTCTTTGTATGGCAATGCCTTGTTGGATGATACTAATGCATTGACATCCCTTTGCTATGCTAGTTCTGACTATTCTCAGTCATCCTCTTTCCCCCTCTGTGTACTTGTCAATACTTAGCTTCTGTATTTTCACTTTAGCATCCTTCAATATCTCTGTCGCATAATAACTCAAAAGCTCAACATTCATGTAGATATCATCAGTATGAGATGCGAAGAACAAGTAGAGATTCAAAAGATACATATAAATCCTTTTTAAGTTATTATTATGCGTCTTACTACTGAAGTTCAAATAACCTTAGTTGATTTGCATGCTAGTGATCATATTTACAAATTTCTATTCAAATATATACATTTGGTTCACTTGTAGTTCGTTGTGTTGTCATTTATTTTATACCTTGATAGTTTATTATAATACCATCAAAATCTCATTAACAAAGCATAACTTATTGCAGATAGACATTTGTGCAACTAGTATTAGAAAAAAAGTTGAAAGTTCTATTCTTAAAGATTACAGACCTAATAAAGGTCTTCTAGTTTGGGGATAAGTTGTATTGTTCGCACCTGATGTTAGATTAAATCATATCAACTTATCATTATCAAATAATTAAATGACACGAGAATTTTACATTTATTATATATATATTTATATATATATATCAATGGTATATTGATTTGACGTAAATATTGAAGATCCATTTATTAAAGCGCAATCAAATCTTTGTGGAGGCTCAACAAGATACATACTGGCTTAATGCAATTTCCTATCGTCTTTTAATATATTGCGACTAATTGTCGTCTTATGTGAAGAATTCTCTTTGAAACTTCCCAGTATCTTCTTTTACTATTTTATTTTATTTTGGTGTCTTTCTAATATATAATTTCCACTTTGCATGCCTGAATCTTGATCATGAGATAGTACCAACCGTACTTAATATTATTCTTTATTCCTTGCAAGGAAAAAATAATTGGATTTGAAATATGATAGTGGACGTACTAATATTCAAAGTGAAAAATGAAAATTTAATATTCAGTATATAGCAAATGAAAGATTATTGCATCGCCAAAGGGGCGGCTCAACAGCTTTGAAAAAAAACCAATTGCCTTAGGCCCCAAAATTTGAGGGGCGTCATTTAAAAAAAAAAACAGGTTATAAGTATTTAAAAAAATAATAATATATAGAGTATTACATATAGAAAATAAAATCTTTTCATAAAAAAAAAAATAAGTAATAGAAGTTCGACAAATTATGAATACTATGTCTCAAGAAAATTAAATAATTAGCTATAATAAACTTCATAAAAAATATATATTTGAATTTAAGGCTTCCATTCGGATTTGGCTTCAGGCCACCGATTTATTAGAGCCGCCCCTGGCCAAAGTTTTTTGAATTTTTTTAGAAATCATGCGTCTTACACGTAAAAATGAATTGAGGGAGTAATTTAGAACATTTAAGAATAGTTTACTTTGTTGTAGTTATAACAATGCATTAAGTGTAATTTAGGGGGGAATGGGTCAAATTTGGGCGGATCATAATGAGTTAAGACAACAATTTTGCATGGTCAAAACGAGTTGGGTAATGAGTTATATAACGGGTCAAAATCCAATCCAACCCAAATTTTACTTAACTTAATTGTTTTATTGTTTCTTTTAAACTATTTTAATACCTAATGAAATAATTTTTTTCTTTATTATGGCTATATATAACATATCAAATTGAAAAAAAAAGTTTTAAAAAAATATTTTGACAAGATTTCTCATGAGCAAATTCGGGTTACATATCAACTCAATTTTTGATAGGTTGAGCTAATGAATATGTGGGTCAATAACCCGTTCAAACTTAAATGGATTGGACTGATTAGGCAGGTTGGATTTGATTTTGTCACTCCTAGTGTAATTTCACAAATAGAATCGAAAGAAAATAGTATATGAGTCACCTCAATAGTCACCCTGCCTAAAGCAATATTTTAAAATAGCTAATGATTCAAACTAAACAAATTTATATGATCAAAAATAGTTGATGATTCAATTATTGCGTTTAATACATTTCCTAAACTTGTGACGTATTAAAGTATTTTATTTTATACCCCCAAATATTTTGTTAGTGCAAGAGTCACCCTTTTTTAGGGGAAAAGAGCAGCTGACGTCCAAATCTACAATACTCATTTTTTTAAAATGAAAAGTATACCCTCTTCCTTTCCCTTCCCCAATAATGTATATGTTAAAAAATAATCTTTTTACTTGTTTATTTTTATCAAATAAAGAGAAATTTTCAAAATTACTCTTATCATTAAGCAACTACTATATAAAGTTTTAATAGTTAAATTTAGATCTTTAACTAAATTTAATGAGTGAATTCAAAATTCATGAACCTATGATCTAAACAAAAAATCATCTTATATCGAAGAAATTCAATATTTAAATATATATATACATAATATATTTTTTTGATAAATAGAATCCAGTCGATGATGGCTCCGCGACTAATAAATGAGACGCCAAACAGGTGATCTCATCGCTAGTAGAATTGTTTGGTACGTGTGTGGGAACATAAATAAAATGTTGAATAAAACATTGAACGATGATGTCTCATTTCGTAGGGATACAATAAGAGAAAATAATTGAATTCTGCATTTTACAACTTTATCATGTGTAAATTATGACATTGCCAAAGTTTTACAGTTGACTAGTTGAGTCATATTGTTCTTGTTCACAATATAAGTCAATTCAATTATTATCGGGAAAATTATGCGACTAAGCAAATATATATACTAGTTAATTATTTAATATAACTATAGTTTAAAGAAATTATTTTTTGCCACTAACATATAACCATATTTACGCGAGCCATATTCAAAATTTGTATAATTCAGTTTCTAATTGTATAAATCTAAAATTTATATAATTTGGTTCCTAATTGTATAAATCCAGAATTTTGTATATGCTTACCCTAACTTGTCTTTAATTATCTTGTTAATACATTTGATTTTTATAAATTCTGAAAAATTCCTAAATGTATAAAATACAAAATTTATATATACTTACCCTATTTGTATATTGACAAACGAATTATACAAACGGAAATACCTATAACATACGAAACTAAAGTTATGAAGCGTAATTAGGCAAACTATAGCTAAGAAGGCCTACTAAGTTTAATCTTTTTGCTATTTATGAAATTTCTTTTTCCTTTTATTAAAAAAATGTATTAATCCATTATTTGATTTAGGATAAAAAATATTTTCTTAATAATAATTTATTTTACTTTCTTGTAATTGGTAAATAAAAATATTTTTTTTTTCCAAATATCTATTATATAGAAAGGTGAAGACGACCAAGGATGACCAAGGGCAAATTCGTAAATAAGCAAAATGTACAGCTTAATAGCAATTGTACTTTGTGCATAGGAAGTATTGAAATTCCAGAAAAACCACCCAAATTCTAGCATATTCCTAAGGCCACGTGGCTATCCACACATTGGAAGAGTAAAACAAAACACGGACTTCTATAAATGTAGGGCCCATTATTGCCTCCAAAAGTTTTCTTACTTTTTTTTAATATACTAATAAGTTTATAACATTAAAAAATCATATAGAGTACTTTTTTTCTTTTTCTTACAGTAGTGTACATTCAATCTACTCAAGTGTTGTATATTGTTATTCCTTCTTAAATTCAAAAATAATTTATATTCATCATATTTACGAAAAACAATTAATTTCATATAAAAGG